TTATAGTATCACTTTCATTACTTGTGATTTTTCAATTTCCAAGCTCTAAATACCTATAGTATCAGTTTTGTGATTTTATTTCTATCCTCTAAACATCTGCTTATAGTATTAGTTTTATTGGGTTTTTTTTTTTACATTTCTGTCCTCTAAGAATCTATAGTATCAGTTTTATTGTGATTTTTTTTATTTCTATTCTCTAAACATGTTTATGCTATCAGTTCTATTGTGATTTTTTAAAATTTCTATCCTCTAAGCATCTAGTTCATAGTATGTTTTGTTGTGATTTTTCCATTTCTATCCTCTAAGCTTCTAGTTTATAGTATTGGTTTTAGTACTTCTGATTATTTTATTTCTAACATTTGAACATCTAGTTCATAGTATCAATTTTATTGTGTTTTTTCAATTTCAAACATCTAAGCATCTAGTTTATAGTACCACTTTTATTACTTGTGGGTTTTGTATTTGTAATGCCTAAACATCTAGTTTATAGCATCAATTTTATGACTTCTGATTATTTTATTTCCTGGTTTGCTTTTGTGCTGCTCTTTTACAGGAATAATAATAATGATGTTTGATGAATGTGTGTCTTAATAAAATGCTGATTTAGCTTGGAGCTCTTTGCTCTTCAGCCTGTTTAAACTAGTTGTTAATTTGGTATGTGGAAATATCAATTGTGGAGTATATTTACATCAGAATTTGCCTTTTTCTTAAGCAAAAATAGTAATTGTATTGGTTATGCTGAATAATAGCAAAAAATACTGAAATTACAAGTGAAAATGGTTTGCTCTCAGGATCTGATGTAGCTGCACACTCTGGTTTCATTGTTGTTAATAATTTGCCCCGAAGTGTTTAGCATTAGTGTGTTAAATCAGAGTGACTTAAGCTTAGTTGGCTTTAAAAGGTGAGGGTAGCATAGGTTCTACTTGTAGTAGTAGTACCAACATCTCTCTAAGACCTTAATGGTGTAATTCTTTCACCCCTTGTAAAAAGAAAGTCCCTGTCTTGCAGATAATTCTGTAACAGACTTTGAGTATTTCTGCTCTGCCAGGGCCCTGTGGTGAGGATTTCTGCTGTGCCAGGGCCCCGTTTGGGCAATGGCAATTTACCACTTCCTTTGTCACCCAGGGTGTTAGTGAGGAACTGCCTGGACACTGATGTTTGTGGAAGTCTATTCATGCACCCCAAAAGCCCTAAGTGAGGGTTTGGCTCTGTGCTTGTGAGGTGGCTGTAGTGTATGGACAGTGTTTGGTGGTGCTTGTGTGTGTAAAGGCATCTCAGCACCCTCCTGGCAGGCAGGAAGTTTGCTGTGGTGGTAACTGGGGTTTGAGGCTGGTTCCTTCTGAAAGTGATGGTCAGATAAACAGGGTTTGAGGTAGAGGTGCAGCCTCTTGTCACTCAGCTGCTTCAGAGCCCTTTGGAGACAGCCAAGGGGCCTGGCACAAAAGTGAGTTCTGTGCACAGATTACAGGAGTGTCCTGAGCTTCCTTGTGCTCTGAGTCAGAACCTTCTCCTGCCCTTCTGCTGTGCTGACTTACTGTCACACTGATCAGTTGAATTGCAAGAGAGAGATGATACTGGAGATGAGAGTTGCTATCTGCTTAAAAAAAAAAAAAAAAAAGCAAGTAATCCATCTGTCTCCTCTGCAGGAACATGGAAGTTGATTTTAAGCTGAGGCCTATCTATTGTCCTGCATTCTAGCCCAAATGTGTTCTCCTCTTGAATTGATTTTAGATTCTTATTACTTGAAGGTTTTATATAGCTGCTTGCTTAGTTCTTGCACTGTACATCCCTTAGTACTGTACATGCCTTAGTACCTAGAAATACATGTTTATGGGCTTCTGAAGAAGGAAAAAAGGCTACTTAAAGTTTGGGCCTGGTAATGCTTGTAACAAAGCTGATACTGAAAGAGTACAATGACCCTGAGTGCAGACAGAGCTGAGGTGCCTCAATCAGGACACCCAGAATGTTCAACGTGGCACTCAGGACTGTGTCTACCTCTCAGGTTCTCTGCCAAGTCTTGTGATACTAAATTCTCAAAATATTTTATTAGCATGTCTCTTTCTGTCCCAGTTGTATGTGAAAGTTGCATAAGCAAGAAGGATGATAGTACATGAAAGGTGGAGTGCTGTTAGACACGAGGGAACAAATTAGAGGGAGTCATTGTCCTCCACCCACTCTGTGTCTGTTCTGCAGCACAGAAGTATGTAGAATATTTCTAAATCAATTGGGTTGATCGTTTGTTTTGAAGAGGTAGATAACTAAGCTGTTGAACTAATAGCCAGGGTTAAAAAAAAATCCAGCTTCATTGTCAATTTTAGATGCCCATTTTTGAAAATTGTGGTGTCATCTCTGAAGGTGATTTCGAGTTTTGCTTATTGGGTTTTGTTGCTTTGAAAAATTGAGTAAAGGTTTTTCCCCTGGAGTTTGAATTAATTTTAGAGCATCAGAGAAACAGTGAATCAAATCAAGCCCCTGAATCTTTTGAGAGTGATTTCTGAGTGTGGTGTTTAGATGGCAAACCTGATACCTTCACTGGAGAGCTCAGTGCTGTGAAAACCAGTTATTAATAGACCTACACAGAAATACCTTTGAGGCTTTGCAGTTAGCACTGCCATTGTCAGGTACATGTTTTATCTATAATAACTTAATGGGATACTTCAAACCTTATCAAATAGAAATTATTATTTAAATTGTAGCACTTGATTTCTTCAGCAGTCACGTAAAGAGAGAACTGGTGGGGGAAAGGGGGAAAGAAGAGGGAGGAAGCCGAGCCAGTATGTTGTTTTTCAAAGTGCCGTTGCCCTGCCCATATGGCAGCAGAGACAGGGAGGAGCTGGGAGCTGCTCAAAGCTCACTGGCATAGCTGAGCTTGCCATGTGGGAAAACACTGCTGTGTGTCAGAAGGATTATATCAGCTACTGAGTTGCCAGTTAAAAACTAGGTTTATTAACGGAGTGGTATGTACTGAGCACAGGAAGCGAAACGACAGGTTTCTGTAGCTTATGGGTTGAATCTTTATTGGGATGAACCAATTCAAAGAGAGAACCCTAATCACAGTTTTGAATTTCAGTTGGCTTATGCCAGAGACATCTGTTTTGCTGTTGTTTAACACCAGTGCTGGCTGATGTTAGCAACATCCTCATCCTGAAACTCACTGTATTTCCACTTCTGTTCCTGGGGAGCCACTGCTATCAGCCCCCCACTCCTCCCCATGTGCTAGATTGAGCTCTTGTCAATAAAGTAAGGCAGCAGTTGGTCTGTATTGTGGCAGAATTTGCTGCTTATTCTAGCAGGAGAATGAGGCTGCTTTGCTAATACTTCCGCACTACTGAGTTTAGCTTCCTGTAAACAAACAGCAAATTTTAGATACAAGGCAGTGAAAGCATTATGGCTCTGGGACAAATGGAGTAAGTGGGGAGAGAGATCACTTAATGCAAATGTGGTCTCTGGAAGACGAAAATAAAATAAAAAAACAACCAGTAAATAGCAGAAGTGAGACCTTATTTTTTTGTTAACCCACAAGTGCCTGGGAGGTGCTCGTGTTAGGATGCTGCAATGGTTACACCTGTAAGTCTTAAATATTTTATGAAAACAGGAAAGAAACTCTCTTCAGTAGTCATGGAAGTATCCTCCTGCCTTCCTGACATCAGGATTTGGAGACTACTGGACTAAGAGCATTGTAATGTTACTTGTCCAGATTTTTTTGAGCTGCTTTTCCCTGTACCTGTGGCATTGCTTTTTGTCTCTCTTTATACCTATACAAATGGAAACTTATTTCAGCACAGCGAAGTGCATCTCCAAAATGAGATGATGTTGGCGTTTGATTCAAAGAGTTAGTGTAGCTGTGGATATTTTTACCCTGGTTTAGGCATGTCACCACAGCAGTGTGGAATATCTTTTGCTGCTGTTGAAACAGGAGCTGTAGATAATCTGAAAATAGCCAGGATTCTGCTTTGCTACCCATGCAAGTCCAGGGTAGCCAACTCCTTATTTGTTAGACAGGAATAAACCATCAACAAAGACTCTTGCTTCTAGAACAGCAAAACTTTTCTTGTGGATGTTAAAACTGAGAAGGGCTCGAGGATTTTGCAAATACTTTGAATTTTTGAAAGTCAAATTGCTCGTCATTGCCACAGGTAGTCACTTGTGCAGCTCTGCAAGTTTCTTGATGCAACATCTGGATTGTTTTTTCTTCCTGCTACTTTTCAAAGACCCCATGGAAAGTTTAAGTGTTGCTTGGGTGGCTTTGCTTTGGTAGTTTGGGGTTTTTGGGGTGTTTTTTTGGAAGTGGATGGCACTCTGGAAAATGTGCCTAATTCTAGCCCTATGAGTCATTTTGCAGTTGGCTCCTCTGCTAGGGTGTGTGTGTGTGTTCAGTGTGTTTAATGACAGGAATAAATTACCCAATACCATTTATTACAGTGTTAGGGGAAGTGAAGGGAACTCCTTTGCTGCTTAGTGCATGGCATTCAAAGGTTGTAAAGTAAGATGATTTGACTATATGTAAAAACTTTCTCAAGTTTCAGCTGCATTATGCTGAGTTGGTGCAGAGAGCAGCTGGTGCTCTGCTCAGTGCTCTCACAGCAGAACTCACTGTGGAGAGACCTCTGGCACAAGGCTGTGTAGAGCTTTAGATTTTGATGGTTGTGGGAATTCCAGCATCATATTGTTCCTGGTTCCCTTGGAATGAAGGGTTGGAACCAGCTGTGGTTCTGCTGTAATGTAGTTGTGATAAGAGCTTGGCTCATATTACGGTAGTGTTCCAGAGAACTCGGAAATAGCTGAAAATAGAGTATCATAAAGCAA